TCTACACTTTTTTACTTTTACAAATTGATCTTAGCTTAGTTCCGCAATTTCCGAGCGTCTCTGATGCCATTCTAAAAATGTCGCGCCTCGCGCCAACTCATTCCGCCAACCCGCCAACGCAATGATAGTCTGAAAAAATTTTCAGACTATCATTGCTAAGACTCTAATGATATGTAGAGCTTAAATTATACATTATTTCAGATTTACCGTCCATCAATCCACCTCCTTTCAATCTCTCAGATATTCTGGCTGAAACCACCAATCAGGAACCCATACTGCTCATTCTTGCTGGTGGAGCAGATCCTAGCCAGGTAATTCTTTTTGGTGGTTTCTCATCTGAACCTATCAATATCAATCCTAACGCAACCGTATTTTTTCCTCTTTTTGAAAAAGAAACATCTCAAAGGCATCGTCAACCCTAAACTAGGGGTTCTGGGCTTTCGACATTATACGATAGTAGGGCCTCCTAACAAGCCAGTGCTTGAGTCGCGCTCAAAAATCGTTCCGGAATAACGAAGAGGCACAAGACCCGTCGCCACCGCCCCCTCAAGTAATGCCCGCCCATCCGTGCCTGCCCAACCAATCTCCGTTTACTCAACTCCGCGGATTTCCTTAAGCGGGGGATTGTCGGGCTTTTCGCGATTCTTCATTTCATATTCCAAATCAGAGGCATGAGAAGGCCCTAGGACAGCAAAAACGGGAATCGAGAATCTGGGTGGAAAGTGCCTTAAGCGCTGATTTTTCATTCCAGAAACTTTTAAAACTTAGATTACATTCGGGTTAGTGCAGTGAATGCATAGTTGCAAGCAGACAAATGGGTCAAAAGCCATTTACATATCCATAGAAGATTTTAATCCGAAGTTGTGTGAGTTCTATACAAAAACGAACTAAGCTAATAACAATTTCGTTGACCTTTACCTACAACCATGAAATATAACTATACAAGAGCTCTTAGAATTTTGATGCCACGTTTCTAGGAGCTTGAGGAACTGGCAGCAAAAACGATTGGTTCCCACAAATACACGTCTATATCAATGGGACAGGGTCAAGAACAAGCAACGATTGATGGGATTAGGAAAGCAACCTCTGAAGGAGAATGGTTGTGCTTGAACAACATACATTTGATGCTCAGCATAGTTCCAACTATACAAAAGGTAAAGGATTGTCAAACTAAGTGTGATAGAAGCGTTTTACCAGTTTAGGAACTTGCCGCAGCGACTTCCCACGAAAACTTCCGTTTATGGATGACCACTGAGGAAGAAAGCAAATTTCCTGCTGTGATGCTGCAGAGCAGCTTAAAAGTAACATTCGAGCCACCGCCAGGTAAGTTAAGAACTGATTGATCTTATCAACGGTGCCAACATTTTTTAGGGCTGCGAAACAACCTT